CCACCTGCCCAACTCCAAGATGAGCTACGCCGCCGCCGGCGGGAAGTGACGTCACACGGGCGACTACCATGATTGGTCAAAGGATCTAACAGCGCGGTTAGGGATTTTTGGATTGTTGCTCCCATTTACGAAACGGCTAACTGGGAAATTCGCGGCAAATTCAAGCAGGATTTCTCATTTCTGGGTAAAGTATGTAGTACCAAGTTGCAAGACGGATATTTCAAACAAGTGACCATTCAGCTACACACAGATGCCAATATTATGGCGGTTGGTTGTGTATTTTTGCTGTAATGTTGTGAAAAGATTCGAGCGTTCTGGAATTTCTGTGCGGACGCTTTCTTACCTTCTCTATATTACTGTGTATTTGTGCACAATGGCGTGCGCGCTATAGAAATGTGTGTTGCAGCGGTGTATTGGACGGTATTGAAGTGAAGTTATTAGACCAAATCAAACTATTAATAGTAATAATACTATCACTATGTAATATAGACCGAATAATTCTGTCCCATATAACCTTTTTTATATTTTGGTGAGGGTTATATTGGGACAGAACGGGGTTCATTGAAATTTCGTGAGATCGTATGCAAAATGCATGCGCTGAGAATGTAGACCGAATAATTCTGTCCCATATAACCTTTTTTATATTTTGGTGAGGGTTATATTGGGACAGAACGGGGTTCATTGAAATTTCGTGAGATCGCATGCAAAATGCATGCGCTGCGAATGCGGCCCGTACGCCGCTATTGGCGCGAAAAAAAACCTACCGTTCCCTTCTACATGACTTCACCTTGCTACAGATATGTGTATACATTCACTTCAATCGTTATTCACTTCTTAAAAGATTGTTTTTCAGAAACCCGCTGCATTCAACTTTCGTAAATAACATTCGCCATTTACAAACAATCAGACCAATCAGAGCGAGTCTATCAGCCCTCCTGCAGCGCCACAGATATACAAGCGAGAACCAGGCTATTGTAACACTCGCTCTGATTGGTCTGATTGTTTGTAAATGGCGAATGTTATTTACGAAAGTGGAATGCAGCGGGTTTCTGAAAAACAATCTTTTAAGAAGTGAATAACGATTGAAGTGAATGTATACACATATCTGTAGCAAGGTGAAGTCATGCAGAAGGGAACGGTAGGTTTTTTTTCGCGCCAATAGCGGCGTACGGGCCGCATTCTCAGCGCATGGCGCATGCATTGCCATGCGATCTCACGAAATTTCAATGACGCCCGTTCTGTCCAGCAATAAAACCTCCCAAAAATATAAAAAGGTTATATGGGACCTACGAATTATTTGGTCATATGTAATACTAATACTAATAGTAATACTAATAGTAAATACTCATAGAATAGTAATACTCAGTATTACTGGTACTGGTAGGTATAGTAAAGTCGTACTGACAAGTTGTATTTATTAACCATCATTTTATTATTGAAA